GCCGTGCAATGTAACACATGACAAAATAATAATTTATGAATTATGAAGGGTTCATAAGGGAGGGGGCAGTGGGGAGGGAGGGAAAAATGAGGAGCTGATATTAAGGGCTCAAGTAGAAAGCAAATGTTTTGAGAATGATAACAACAAATGTACAATACATATGGAGCTATGCTAGTGCCCTGCCAGCACTGAGATGCTTACAACACCACTGGATCCACAAGACTTCCCATCGACTGGCATGTGTGATCTTTGTGCATTTGGTGTCATTACATGAGTTGTGTGAGTCTTAAGAGGAATTTATACATTAGTATCGGGCCTATGGGCTAATATCGGACTTAAGGACTTGATCTGGACTGGGATGTTTTCTTAATGTACAATTACTCTTTATACACATATACCACATATACTCGTATAAAAGTCAAGTTTTTCAGCACATTTTTTATGCAGTGTTTGTGGTAAAATTACATGCCTCAGATGCCTCATCTGATATTTGGGTTGACGTCTACTCGAGTATATATGGGAAGTGTCTATGAATTTGTTTCTCTAGTCTATCCAGACTAACATACACACACACAAATGTCTGTATCTTAATGTTATCTTATGTGTTACTAGAGGCTTGGCATGTGTGACTAAAGGTTAGGGATTTTGAGATAGGAAGGTTTTCCTGGATTGTCCAAATAGACTTGATCTAATCACCTGATACCTAAAAGTGAACCAGACAGACACGATGCAAAAAGAGACAAGAGATATTCTACTCTGTGTCCTTGGCCTGCCTTGTTACTGATTCTGCTCTGTATTTATTATCACTGGAAATAATATTCTTGCCCTTGCAATAAAGGACAAACACATACATAAGGATGCAGATTTTTTCAAGTCTCAAATTTCCTCATTCAATGGTAATCTTTAAGAGAGTTTTGCTCTCAATTAAGGCTCATCTTTTTCCCCAAGGCCCTGACAGTCATTCACTGAGATCACATGACCTATCCTAGAATCACCTTGGCCAGCTCAACTGGAAATGTGATAATACCCAAAGACAGTTACAGGAGACTAAGTCCCAGGAATTGGCATCATTATAAAACACTTATCTAGTACCTCTATGGGGTGTGGCATTTTTAATTCTAAGCTCGACACAAATAACTCTGTCAATTCGTGAGCGTTCCTTACTTTGCTGTGGGAATTTCATAATAGTGCCCTCCAGTGTTTCATAAAAAGCTACCTAAAATAATTCTTCAGAGTCTGAAACAAATAATTACATTTACGAAACTGACATTTTAATTAAATTTACTTTCTTTATAATCCAGTGGTACTATTGGGTTATACAAATCACAGAGGATTTGAGTAAGCAAAGCTTTACAACCAAGATCTTCTAAATGCTTACAATTTTTAAACATTTAATAAGTTTTTATGGAAAGAAAGCCATGTCAGAATGTAGAATGAAGACAACCAACTTTCAGTTTAATACTGCTTGTGTTGGAAAACATATGGGTTCTAACTAATTCATGTTAAAGACTAAAATCAGCCAATGATTTGTATGACCGTATACTCAAATACAAATTGAAACATTAAAATGTTACCTAGGAAACACAAGCTTAGAGGGTTATAAAAAGACCTCAAATGCCTCCCAAATTTTAGTGAAACCCTAGAGAAGTAAAAAA